ATATATATATATATATATATATATATATATATATATATATATATGGAGAGAGAGAGCGAGAGCGAGAGAGAAAGAGAAGAGAAATATTAGCATGACCAACTGTTCCAGTTTGCCTGGGACTACGGGATTTTCCAAATTATTCTCTACCAAATAAATCCACTTAATTAATACTAAAAGGTCATGACATACTTTTCATAAACAAAGGACAAGCCAGAAAAGTTTCTTTTAAGGGAATGAATGAATACTGAATAAAACTTGTATATTTACTTTCAAACCATTATCCTTAATATTTCAGTTCTGGGGTTCCAAAATAGAGAAACAAACAGCAAATGGGGAATTTATTCCTTGATTTGGAGAGAATTCCTTTCCATGCTGTGAAGTTGAGGATGAAGCTCATGGTAACCAGTGGATGAGGAGCAGCCACCTGATGAATGGGGGGACACAGAGATGTAAGCCCGGAAATGCAGATGCAGCTCATATGGAGAGGCTCCATTAGAAGATGACAATAATTCAGCCAAAACATCCCAGTGCATCCTGCCCATACGCTACAGAGAAGGGGCAATCAGTGATGATGAAAAGAAGTTAGACAAGAAGTTATATGACCTGGTCCTAGTTCCCACTCTGCTGCTAAGGAGTACTGCGACCATGGGCAAGTAACTTTTCTGGGTACCTCAGTTCCTCAACAATAAAAGAAGAGTATTGGGTTAGATGATTTTGAAGATGCCTTTTCAATTACAAAGCTATAGTAATCAAAACTGGATGTTACTGGCATAAAAACAGAAATGTACATCAATAGAAGAGAATTGCAAGCCCACATATAACCCATGCATATATGGTCAATTAAGTACAACAAAAAAAGGCAAGAATATAGTTGTATAATAGAAAAAGGGCAGTCTCATCAATAGGTGGTATTGGGAAAACTGGACAGCCACATGCAAAAGAATGAAACCAGGCTACTATCTTACAGCATACACAAAAATGAATTCAAAACAGATTAAAGACTTGAATGTAAGACCTGAAACCATAAAACTCCTAGAAGAAAACATAGGCGGAAAAGCTCTTTAACATTGGTCTTGGCAATTTTTTTGTTTTTGACACCAAAAGAAATAACAACGAAAGCAAAAAATAAAACCGAAAAAACAGAAAAAAAAAATGGGACTACATCAACTAAAAGGCTTCTGCAAAGCAAAGAAAATCAGCAACAGAATGAAATGGCAATCTAGTGAATGGGAGCAAATACCTGCAAGTGATATATCTGATAAGGGGTTGATTTCCAAAATATATAAAGAACTCATACAACTCAATGTCAAAAAACCAAGCAATCCAATTAAAAATGGGAAGAGGCTCTGAGCTGACATTTTTGCAAAGATGATATACAGATGGCCAACAGGTACATGAAAAGACGCTCAACATCACTAATCATAAGGGAAATACAAATCAAAACCAAAATGAGATATTACCTCACACCTGGTAGAAGGGACATCATCAAACAGACAAGAAATACATGCTAGTGAGGATGTGGAGAAAAGGGAATCCTTGGGCACTGTTGATGGAAATGTAAATTGGTGCAGCCACCATGGAAAACAATAATGGAGGGTCCTCAAAAAATTAAAAATAGAGCCACCACAGGATCCAGCAATCCCACTTCTGGATACTTACCTGAACAAAATGAAAACACTAGTGTAAAAAGATAATG